TGCTCTGTCTAGTGGATGGGATAACTAAAATGTCTAAATTTCCAAGGAAAAGCGTTTTTGAAAGCTGGGGATTACAAGCAGGTGGGAAACTGCATGAAAATAAGTTCACAAGAGGAGCACCACCTTGTCATGGAGGTCTTCTTCACATCCCAACACTAATGTGAAACTATCTCCTCTTACACCTGAGAAATGGCTGTACTTAGTTTGTTGCTTGTTGTAAAACTTCTTTCTCTGCTCATTCATCTAGAATATCCTGGCTCTTGTCTCACTTCTGACGACTCTCACTTGTATTTTTCCTGCTATTCTATTTTCTATTCATCTGAGTCAATTTAGCAAATGAGAAAATGAAGACCAGACAGCACATAATTTGATTACTCATTTTCTCTTAAACATTTGCCCATATTACTGAAAACTAATTCTCATTCAACACTATTGTTTTTAGCCTACAAAAGCCTAAAGAGAGTATGGGGTTATAAAACTAGTCCAGATGGGGATCATGCTTCCTTGTAGTCAGCAGAGATGAATGGGTATTTTTAGGGAGAGGTTCACATGCTATTGCTGAGCAGAGCTTATACAGAGCCAAGGCCTTCGCTACTTTTCGCACTGCCACACTGGTGAGGACGAGGAAGCTGGAGGTGCATGGGAGATTGGGACGAGGCACAGATGGGACAGGTGACCCAAACTGACCAAAGGGATATTCCATACCATATGACATCATGCTCAGTATATGAAGTGGAGGAAGAAGGAGGAAGGAGGAGATGTTTGGAATGATGGCCTTTGTCTTCCCAAGTAACCATCACATGTGATGGGACCCTGCTCTCCTGGAGATGGCTGAACACCTGCCTGCCCATGGGAAGCAGTGAATTAATTCCTTGTTTTCTTCTCCTTGCATGTACAGCTTTTCCTTCCCCTTATAAACTGTCTTTACCTTAACCCATGAGTTTTCTAGCGTTTACACCTCAATTCTCTCCCCAGTCCTGCTGGTGGGGAGTGAGCAAGCAGCTCTGTGGTGCGCGGTTTCTGGCTGGGTGTAAGGAATTAAAGAATACCTTGCCTGTTAATGCCACAAAAGGGATTCACCCTAAGACGTGCTAGCCACCAAGGCAACTTGAGATAAGCACAAAAGAGACGAGTTTATGCTAATTCCAGGCCTGGTGGAGGCAGATCTGGTTAGCACATCCTGATTAACATATCTAAACAAAAACCCCACTGTGGCAAACTGTATATGCATATCAAAGATCACCTTGGACAGGCAGTATCTGCGACCACAGGACCCCCCACCCTGGGCCTACTTCACTTCACATGTAAATTAGGAATACACCTCCACAGAGACCCAGAATTTGGACTGTATAAAGGTGGTACCCTGAGATGAGCAAATCAGGACCCCCACGATCCAGAACAACTTAGGACCCCCACCATTGAGAAGTCCAGGGTGAAGAAGGAACAATGGGACACTGCTGGATCCATGGGTGGTGACGCTCTCTCCTTTCGGTCTCTCTAATGAGAAGATTGCGTCAACAGAAATTTCTTTCACTTCTCACCCAAAGGTCTTACTGGCAACTTAACAGATGATCTATGAGCAGATGCAGTCCCTGGACTTTAGTCTAAGATGAAAACTCTCTCCTTTGAGCACACAAAGAAGATTTCATGTTAGAGGAAAGCTCTTTTTTTTTTTTTAAATAAAAATCCACAGAATGGAATAGAGAAGTTCTTGCTTTTGAGTTATAGCCATAAGTGTACAGTGCTTGCCATTTGTTTTTGTCCCTTGGCAAACCACCATACTAGACCCCTCCCTGCTCTGGAAAACTTCTGCTGTGAACTGAATCCTGTGAAGAAAGGAGAGTAATATGAATAGCTGTAAGTTGTGATGCAATGTTCCTTTCTACTTCTGTGTTTTGTTGATAAACTTCAAACTTATAAATTAGTGTATTTCATCTTGGGCAGGGAATTCTATGAAACACATAATAGAGGACGTGAAAAGAACTGATTTTCTCTGTCTGCCATAAAGGTTTTGAAAATGCCCAATACTTAAAATATTATAGAATTAAAAGCCAGAAATTACTCTAGTGCATGACTTTCTTCGGAATACAAAGAGTACCATGCTGAAATACTTCAGGGCCACCAGAAGCAAGGTGGAGGTACATGGGCTATGAATGAAGATCTGAGCCATGGAGACTGAAAAGAGTGTGAGAAAATTGAAGCAGGTATGGTTTTGCATGACTTCACAGTCTATCCTATGCCTTTCCAAAGTTGTAGGAAATGATTGGGCAGCCCAGTGTCCCAAGTGATCTCTGTCCTTTGGGCAGCAAAAGGTATACACGAATGTATATAAGAATATAAGAAATGCAACACACAACACGGCCAAATGAAGTTTGCGTTCCTAAGTCTGTGGTATTTTCCAGAATAAAAATCAGAAATTAATGTACTTTAAAGAGCTACTAATATATTTTTTCAATGACATCATAAAGTAAACAAACTGTGTTTAGTATATGTTTTTATATGTTCTAGGCATAAATTTATTTTCCATATTCCACATAGATTCTAAATATGCCATATCATCAAAATAGTAATTTTATAAAATTAATATACTACTTTATAGTATATTAATCTGGTTATTTAAAAAAATAATAATAAAGAAGTATTTATAAAAGCTGAAAAATAATGGCAAAAGTTTTATGCTCCTCTGCCTGCAAAAATAATTGCATTAAACTGGATGAATAATGAAAGGATGAAATACTCTGTATCATCATGGTTTTACTGTAGTCATGTTTCATTAATCAAATTCATCAGTTTTTCAATTTTCTCTAAAACTCTTCTGACATCTTCAAGGACATTAAAGTACAGGAGAGAGAGGGAGAAAGCAGGATACATGTCTCAGTAAGAGATCTGGACCTCACCATTGTAGAGGTTTTTATTTTGGTAGCTTATGTATGCTGATCTTAGGAAAATTTTGAGGCATCTAAGCAAAATTAGCACCATTACATGGTAGCAAAAATCAATGTCTTCTCTGCTTTGTGTTTATTAAGTACTATCTAAGTCACGTACTGTGAAATCGACTTCAAAATATCTCACATTTGACACCCCAGGTTACCAGGTAGTTTGGTTATGAATGGGGAAAATTATACTTCCCAAGTCCCAGAGTGATAGTACTTGTTCTGGGCTTGAGTTTTCTTATGGGCCTCTGCAGTGTGCATGAGAGTCATTTCTCATGGCCAAATCCCTGAAGGTGGCCTCACCACTCCCCTGTGTGCTGTGGGCTCACTGTGCCCTGGGATCCTTTCTGAGGCTGGGAAAAGACAAGAACTTTATGATTAGAGGAGGGTCTGAGAGGAAGTGTGTTCTGCTAGGCTGTGGATTTGCATCACTGCTGCCAGAGGTTAAGTGGCCAGGGGTGACAGGTTTGGGCCAGCAAAGAAGTCAATGTGGGGATCCTGCTGCTTCTTTTGCAGTCTTAACCAGGTCCCAGCTTTTTCTTTCTGACTCCATCTGCTCCTTTCTATTCATGTGCAGCCAAGGGCAGATCTGAGTGTCCCTGGCTACCACTGTGTGACCTTACCTGAGCAAACACACCTGGTTTGCCAGATGTGATTGCATGGTCCTTGTGGAGGAAAAAAAATGTCTCTTCTAGGTTTTGACACCCCTTTGGAGAAGTAAAATAAAGGTTCTGGTTTAAAAAGGATAATAGGCGGTGCTTCCATCATGTTCTCTTTTGTTGCCTTCCACGGAAAGGTTCATCCAACTACCCATCATTTCAATTTGTATATATTGCCACAGAGCACTGAAAAGCTTGAGAGTATAGAGTTGAGGACGGGAAAAGCAATGACACCTCTTAATGGAGGAGGAACAGAGAGAGCAGAGTGCAGATTAGAAGAGGAATCTGGAAGTAGGAAATTCTTTGTCTTCTGATAGTTCAAGATTTGGCACTCCATCTTGCTATATAATCCTGAGGCTCAAGATGCTTCTCTAAAATGTATTATCTTTGCCTACTGAACAGAGAAACAGCTTCTGTCAGACACTGCAAGTCTGATCAAGGGCTCTGGGGAGCGTTGGTTAAATCTATCTTAAGAAAATCTCAACTCCAGGGTGCCAAATTCACCTCTCCCTGCATTGTGACCTCTTCAAAGACTGTGCCCTCAGGTCCAGTATCACCTTTCTGGAAAACCTGCCTTCTAGCTTGCCTCCCAACAGCACCTAGCTCAGTGATCCTTGAGAATCACTGTGGGCATCCCAGCATGTCTAGCTTCACTTAAGCTTGTTGCAAAGCAAAGAACACCATTTTCCCTTGAGATAAAAATGATGGTAAAAAAAAAAAAAAGACATTAAACCCATAAATTACCTACATATTTGTTGAGCTTACCAGGAATCCTAGTAAACCAAGGGTGTTGGGAGACACAGGGCTGGAGTTTACTCATGCTTTGTTCCAGACCAGGTCCCTTGTGTTTCTTCATGTGGTTTGACCTGCCTTGACAGACATCCAGCAATAGCTGAAATGATGGCAAAATTTACTATTAGAAGGTAACATCTCCATGGACAAATATCTATATAGCCAGAAGCAGAAATTGATATTAAGCTTCCACCGTGAGGACAGCAAGGAGCACATAGGTCTTCCTATAGCCCTTCAATAATGCTGGATACACCTACAGACACAGCATCTGCTGCAAATGATGGTAAACTCCCAGAGGAGCTCCTCATGGGCACTGTGAGCAGGTCAGCAAGTGCTGTGTCACTGCCTGAGTGGAAACTATTGTTCTGGTAGTGTTTGTCAATGGACTGGTGGGGAAAGACAAGCTGTTTTGGCTGGACTGGCTGTTGAACTCCCAGAGGAGCTCCTCATGGGCACTGTGAGCAGGTCAGCAAGTGCTGTGTCACTGCCTGGATGGAAACTATTGTTCTGATAGTGTTTGTCAATGGACTGGTGAGGAAAGACAAGCTGTTTTGGCTGAGTATAAATTCCCCTGTCCATATATCAACAATCTTTCAGCAGGTGCAGAGTACAAGAGATGAAGCTCCTCATGCCAGCTACACTCATTCTGCTCCTCCTCTGCACCCCAGGCTCGGGGGTGCGTGAATACACCTCTGTCCTGACCGTGCCAAATGGAGGCCACTGGGGCAGGTGGGGCAGTCAACAGTTTTGTCGCTATGGCTATGCCAAAGGATTTGCATTGAAGGTAAAATTTTCTCCATTTCCTATCACCTCCTATCCCTGCATCCTGGTTTACATCCATCTCCCAGGGAGCATCTCCTCTGGAGTCCAAGGAATTTCTGCAGACTTTTTCCTCTTCTTTAGTATGGTACTTGGTACATAAAACTATGAGTCTTCTGCCAAATATTGCTACTATGGGTATATCAGAAAAGAAAAATACAAATTTTTTTTTTTTGCTTTTAGGACAAGAGGTCTCACATTGGATACAGGAAAAAAGGAGCTACTGACAGAATTCTTTTGCTCTCAGGAAAGACATGTGCTGGCAATTGCACAGTCTGCATGTTGCTGAGATAAGCCATGTCAGTGCCAAAATATGCTGCTGGAGTCAGGAAGAGAGTTATCCTCCACCAGTGTCTTTCCTGGGACTCTGAGTCTCTGCCTTACATATTGGGTTAGAAATAGTTAGAAAACACAAAGAACATGTTAGAAGGGTTATATGGTTTCTCAGTGACAGGCATCAGTTCCCATGTGCTTCCCAAGACTTTTTCTCTTTCTTAATGTGTAGAGGAGTTGGGACTGTTTATGATGGGCAGAACTTTCCCTGGGTCTTCTCCCCCTTGCCTTTACCTCTGTTGCTGTGTGACTTGTATTGCAGGTGGAACCAGCCCAGTTTGGAAAAGATGACACTGCTCTGAATGGCATACGCCTGCATTGTCAAGATGACTCGATCATTGAGTCCTTGGTAGGGAGGTAAGTAACACCGTGGTTTCTCTCCTGTTTGTCATATAGCAGCTCACAAAATACCCTTAAGTGTCACTATTTAGTGGGGTCTCTTCTTTGACTTGCTTTGTATGCATAGTGCTGTAGTATAGTGAATTTAAACAGGTGGTTGAGGGTTGTGCCTATTTATTTTTAGAGTAATTAAACACAGTTACCTCACATTACTGCTTTCTGTTTGCCCTGAAATTTCTGCAAAACATGGTGAACAGCTAAAGGGTGATCCCAGGGATAGTCTCTTTCTTTGGCAATCTGCAACTCATGGGGCAAATGTGAGAAAAGGGGTTTCTAACCATACATTTAGAAACTGGTTGGGTGAAGCATAGACCCTGCTGCAGGGAACAGTACTGCCCCTCTGCATGGCAGAGTCTGTGCTTGTCGCACATGTCAGAGATGCATCATAAAACATGTGCTCAGACTGCCCGTGGAGTTTCCATCAGAACCACAGCTATCCAATCTCAGATTTCATGGTGTTTTCCTCATGAGATATCAATCAACAGAAAAGTACATCCTTGGAAGGGAAGGAGAAAAAAAGGGGAGAAAGTAAGGGGCCCCAGACTACAGCAGGATGCTGTGCTGGTTGTGGTGGCGAGCAAGTAAGTATTAAGTTTCAGAGCAGCATGACAAGGAGAAGGAGCAATTCCCAGCAGTTCACAGAGCCCAGACATTCTTCTGTCTGCTTTTCGTCAGGTGGGGTGCCTGGACCAGCTTCCAAGTTTGCCCTGGAGGATACTTGATCTCCTTCTCACTGAGAACAGAGCAGTCCCAAGGAGGAGGTGATGACACAGCAGCCAACAATATTCAGTTCAGATGCTCAGATGAAACTGTGCTAATAGGTGATGGACTGTCGTGGGGTAGCTTTGGCCCATGGAGCAAAAGCTGCAAGATATGTGGTCTCCAGACCAAAGTAGAGTCCCCACAGGGGCTTCAGGATGACACAGCACTCAACAATGTGAAGTTCTTCTGCTGTAAGTGAGCACGTACTCCATCTTCATCACTGCCTACACATCCCATACCCATTGCAAATGAAGTATCAGTAAAGCTTTGCTCTAGGTTTATACTGGGACATTTGCCTGCTTGCATCTTGTCATACTGGTCAATGCCTTAGATGATGACAGCTAATGCAATGTTAGCATAGCTGCCCAGTTACTGAAATATATTATGTTCACAAGAATCTTTGTATCATGTTCTGCTGATATGTTGCTGTGAAAATGCCCAATCTCTGACAATTGCTCAGGGCTGACAGATTTCTCAGCTTTCTTTTTCTCTGACTGGCCAGACTCTTTGAGGTTTGCTCTTCCTGCTTTCCCCTTATTTGAACTATTATTTGATTTGTTGACATGACAAACAGGGAAAAATGGGTATTAGTTTGAATCTATTTGAGGTCTGTGACCAAAGCAAAAATGGCCACTGAGAGCTAAATGGGGTGAAACAGAAATTTGGGTGGGCTCATGAGAAACATCAAAAGTTTGCTGTCATTGTCCACTCCTGACTTAAGTTGCCTCAAGGTTTGTACATGTTTTTCACAAGCAATCTGTTAGCTCATACCTGAGCTCCTGCCTTAGGAAACATGGCTAGAAAGTGTGTTTCCACTGCGCATTCATTTAAGTGTGGTTACTGTATCCCCTGGGTGGGCTGTAGCTCCCCAACCTACTCTTTTTGCTGCTTTGTAGTGGGCTCCAATGGCTCACCTAGCTGTTAGGGCAAAACATTTTAATAGGACTTGGTTTTTTCGTTGGTTTCCTCAGGGCTTCATGCTGTAAATAGAATGGGGAGAATCCAAACTTAAAATATACTCCATGTCATTCATCCACTTTTTATGCTCCATTTTGCTGGGTAATCTGGAAATTATTATCTTGTCCTGATGTGATAGATGTAAAGAATGTACTCCTGATATGGGGAAAAATCATGCCTGGAGATCATTATTGTGCCCTAATATCTGAGCCACTGGACCTCTCTGGCAAAAGTTTGAGAAGACTTGTTGCCTCTCTGTCCACCTTCTAGGAAGCATAGCTGTTGTTATTCCCTCAAAGCAGTGCATTATGCATCTTTGTGTACTTGAAAATAGGTAGGAGTATAGTGTTGTCATTCTCTAGGTGACTGATTGGGCTGTGAGGATGTTGTGTACAGGCCACAGACATGTGGAGTAGCACAGAACTGATGGTGGAGGTTTCTTCTACCTGTTCAAATCCTCTGCTTAGCACATACACAGCAGCTATCACTATTTTGGCTCTTCATCCATGTAAAATTTTCTTCCTGTCACTTAAAAAAGTACTCAGATAATAACTGTATTTTCTTTTAAGAGAAATGCTATGCAACAGGCAAAAGAATAGAACAAATGTGCTAAGTACTTTGGTTAAAAGAGTATTGATAAAAAAATGGGTTTGTTTTTGAATAGGTCACTGCTCTGTCTAACCCTCTGAACTGTCTCTGGTGTTGGTACTCCATAGCTAATGCTTGTTGCAATAAAAGTTTTCTCTGTGTCAGGAAAAAGATGAATATGAATCTTATTGGCAAAGACAACAGCAATCACTGTGTGTTTGGTGTCTGCAAATGCTGCCCAATGTTAGCCTTTGAAGCACACAGCAATTTCTGATGATGCTTGTGCCATTTTGCCTTCCAGACCCCATTTTGACCTCACAGGAATTTTGCAAGTGGTAGGTCATGAGTGGGGTAGCCAACCATAGAGGACTCAGGACTGATTTCATCTACTGCAACCAGGTGGAGAGTAAGATATTTGTCTTGGCTCTGTCTGCACTGTATTGTTTCCTGTCTTCTGCCTCCTGAGGTGGAGTTGGGGTAAACTGATGCATCTCTAATGACAACATTTGAAGTTACTTCGGGTGAAGCACGTACCAAAGCCTTGGTAGTGCAAGAAGAAATCTTAGAAAGACTCCTGGAGTTGAGTGATTTTATTTTAAAGAAATTAGTATGAAACTTTCAGTTCAGAACTTTTGCTGCAAATTTTCACAGCTCTGGTTTGCTTGATCTTAGGGTCTCATTTATTTCTTCACATTTTAAACTGGTTTTTTGGTGAGTTTTTTGGGGGTTGTTTTTTTATTTTTAATAATTTGATATTTCTTAGTGATCCTTTAACTGCTTTTTGTACTCCTCCCAGCTGCAGACATTTAAAGGGTGCAACTGCTTTATAAAAGAAATCCTTATTTTGTAACACCAGCCCAGTCAGCACTTGAAATACAAGGGATTATTAGCTTCAAAGAAGCATTTTGTGACTTCCATCTCAATTTGGGTGTTTCTGAAAAAAGATCTTTATTTGTCATATATTCAGCTCTCTGTAAACATACAAATCCCTCAGCTCTACTACTTATTAGCAAAAAAACCCCCAACCAACAACAACAATTCCCAACAGAAACAGTCACAACCTTTTCCTAATGAGCTGAACTAAATTAAATTAAAAACAAATTCTGATGCTATCCCAGTTAAGTGGTGTTAACAGTGACCACACAGAAACTTACCTTCTAAAATGTCTCTTTTCAAACCCTACAAGTAGACGTATTTTTATTCGCATTCAGTTGCTTGACTCTCATTTTTGTATGAGATAGGAATCATTTCAGCTTGAAAATTGACACTCAGGATAATTAGTGAAGTGTATTTGAGGACATAAAAATAAAAATAGCTGCACTGATCTAAACAAAACAGGCTTCACTCAATGAAAGTGAACAGGAATCGTGGTGACATGATTATCTGCATCATCTTCCAAAGCCTGAGGAATCCCTTTGCCCAGGCAGAGGCAGCTCCACGCACTTCACAGAAGTATTGGAGGGACAACTACTGGTCACCTTCCACCAGAACACGTAGGACAAGCAAAAACCAAAGTATTTTATACTACAGTACTGTATGAGCAGTATCACCAGCAAATGTGGCAACATGACATTTAAAAGTGCTTTTTTCTCAGCATGTGAGTAAGTTGTGTCTCTTGGAAAGATATGCTGCGTGAATCTAAGTTGTGTGCAGCCAGTAATGTGTGGGAAAAGAGGTCTGGTAGTTTTTTAGTTCTCCAGTTAGAGCTGGTTTCTAAGAGAGTTAATTGTTGGAATGACCATTACCGCTGAGCTGAAGGGCTTAAAAGAAGGAATGACTTTTATTTTTGAGTGGTTTTTTCAAGAAGCAGTGCCTGTTTTCGTATGTGTGTCTATGTATGTGTATATATAGACAGACGAAAAACTTGAACTTCATATTGCACATTCCTTCTCCAGAGGGTAAATCAGGTTGGAAGACTCTGAACATCTGTTGCTTCTCTGCAAATGAATGATTCAGTTAAATGTTGAGGTTTGCTGTGGGAATAATTATTCACATCACCAGCAAAACTGACCTTTTATGCTTCCCTGTTGTGCCAGGTGTAACACAGCTTCCTATCAGTGTGTCAATAGACACTTCAAATGAGAGCTGTTCCAAGAAATGTTTGGAGAATAGAATACCTCCTCCTCTTCACATGCTTTCTCTTTTACTTATCAGCAACTTCAAAATCAAATAGGTATGTTCTTGAAATCAGAAAACTGATGGAATACTTCCATCTGGGTCTCCTCTGATGGGCCACTTGCAAGCCATGGGTCATACACAGAAAATATGGGGTGGGATCTGAAAGCAGGTGTCAGCCATATACTTCACTCAGAGAGAAGGAATCGTTCTTTCAACAGAAATGAAGGTATAATGCATCACCAAAGTGTGCTGGAACTGGCATGGCTGAACATATGAGTAGCTGGAATCTGTGAATAGCTACATCTGCACAACTTCAAAAAATCATTGTGTATCTCTGGCACATCTAGGAGTCAGGAATATGTTGTCAAAGAAATTAACCTCCAGTTCCTGTGGAATGTTAATGGGACTAGTGGCAAGATCAAGGACAAAGAAAGAATTACCCCTTCATTTACTGGTAATGTGGCCATTTTAGGTCTGGAGCACGTGTAGTCTTGGGGAAGGCAAAGAGGAGTTTTCTACCAATCCATGCACATGTGGCATTCTGCAGCTGTTTGTGAAGGACTTAGAAGTCCATGGACAAAAATATACATAACTGGCTTCGTTAAAATCCAGAAAGGACCACTCATACCCTAAAGGACAATGTCTCTCCATGCAATAAAAAATAATTTAACCCTTTGCACTCTTTCAAGTAGTAGGAGTAGATTAAAATATTAATCCCCCAGTCTGATATTGTGTCTAGAATACTCTTCAATCCTTGCTCCAGCAACTTTTTTCGTGTCAGTGAAATTTTTATGTTGAGGTAACCCAAAGTTATTTAGAAAACAACTTTTCATTTCAGCTTTTGCCACTATTGTGATTATCAGCTAAGACCAGCTTTAGCATTTCTAGCTTATTGCTGTGGCATGCACAACATGGCTAGGAGTGCTGTCAATGGGAAAACAGAATAGATTCTAAAAGTTGATTTGAACATCTTTGCTGAGGCAAAAAAGACAAAAATAAATTCTAGCTCCTACTAGCTGTGGTGTTTATGCTTACTGGGAAGAGCATTGTCAAGGGGACAAAGTTCTTCTAATTTTAAAGGAGATTTTCATATCAGGGAAAGTAGTAATTAAATGAAGAAAATACTACTTCTATTTCTAGGTGTTTGCAAACAAACATCTGGGAACACTTCAATGTTTTATGGAAGTAGCATAACTGGGTTTCTCCTCTGGCTCACACTGGAGTCAGTGAAGTTACACATGAATAAAGAAGGGGATAAGTAAGAAAGACATAAACTTAAGGAATCATTACTATATAATCTACCTGATGAAAGATTTCCTTTCAAGTCTAGCCAAATGACTGCAACTTTCCATGTGAGATTATAATACCCATGCTATGGTGCTAAGTAGTTATCCAGCAGAACCTGCAGAGTCTCACTCCTATTAGAGGTGTAAGAAATCCACTGGTGTCCTCCCAGACTTTAAAGCCTAGTTGGAAGTTTCTCAGTGAGTTATCTCAGAGGTGGCTCACCTTGAATGAGATACATTGTCACACTCT